CAGGCGGTGCGGAGCGCAGGGAGCAGCCGCACATATGCCAGGCACATGTGGATGGAACGGGGAAGGAATAGTTGTCGACCGTCACGGAAAGGACTTGTTGCAGCTGGACAGGTTCTCTCCCACCCTGTCCTGGTTGTCGTGCTTTACACCAGATTAAAAAACCCCTTTAAAGCAGAGACCATACGTATCTTTGGGTTTTTTAACAATGCTTATATATCGTGCTATAGGTTTCAGTGGTGTTAATCGGCATTTTCAGAACCTAGGTGGATTAAAGCCTGGAGGGGAAAACCAAACCTCTAATGGATGATTAAAGGCTGAAAAGCAAGCTTGGCTTTGCAGTAGCATGTGTTGGTCCCGATTCAGACCCAGCGCTGTAAGAAGAGACCATTGGTGTCTTCCTCTCGGACGCTGCGTTGCTTCCTTAAACATCTCCTGGTGCTCCCTAGCCCCTGCAGCCAGCCCAGTTGGGTATGGTTTTATTAACATAGCTGCATGGAGCCCAAGGTTAAGTGATGGGAATTTCAAAACAAAACAATAAATTAATAAAATGAACGTGTCACCAGCTGATCCTCTTCTGACCACCATCTGTCCCCGGATCATGTGATGTCTCCCAGCTGGCCACCCAAGAGACAAACCATGCAAGATCATCAGCACAACATATGCTGCTGTTTACACATTTTTAAAGGTAATAGTTGCTAGGATGTCATATTAGTAGTTAAAAGTAGTTATCTGGAAGCTAGGGGATTTTTAATTGTTTTTTTTTAGGAAGCCAGTGACTCAGCAGGTAGATTTCTGACAGAGACATGTTCAGGATTGGATCAGTGGGAGTTCCTATGTAAAGTATATATGATTCTCCCCACCCCCCACCCCCTTGTTCCATGATATGCTATTGTGCCTTTTGTAATAAACAACAGCATAAATAAACTAAAAAGAAGGCAACGATACTACAGATTTTACTAGTGTACCTTTTAGGAACATTATGTGCTCTCTTTGCCATCTCCAGGATACAAACCAAGCCGTGTGTTTTGAAACTATTGTTAAGATCAAGGATGTGGTTATGAGAAGACTTACAATTTATAGGATACTTAAGCATTAAGGATTGAGGCACAGAACATTTCCTGGGGATTAAGGACTGACTGGGTGAGCCTCAGGCCATTAACCCCTGCCTGTCATTAATCTTCAGGAAATGCCCTGCAGTGAGGTCGTTATTGCTGTTATATGCTGAAACAGAAAATAATAATAAGAAAGGTCCGTGGTTTATTTATTTATATTTTACGTAACACGGTTTTCTTGGGACTGTAGGAGATGAACACCTTTCTCTCTAGCTGGTTGTACTGCTTGAATTAATGCAGTTCCTGCTTTTCACTGTTTTGTGGAAGATCATTGTCAGATTGCACGCGTGTAAGCGGGGGCAGAATTTGGCCCACTGCTCGTGTTGCACAATATTTAATTCGATGAATAAGCGGTGCTCCTCTGGTATAACTGCTGGCAGAATGTAGCCCTATATAGAAACCAGCTCAAAATGCTTGTTTTACAGCAAAGCAATTTATTCACAGTTCTAAGCATCTCACAGCCTTTTTTTAACTCGTTGAATAATCCTTTTAGGTTCCCCATAAAGCAGGTGAAATGCTTCTGCTGCAGTCCTAAGGCAGAACACAGGCTGCATAAATAGCACCGAAATTACTGGGAATACAAAATACACATCCAGTAATACATACCTACAAAGGCAAATTCATACTGACAGGACTGCAGTGTGTGCTTATCAGCAGCAAAACATCTCGGGGGAAAAAAAAAAAAGTGGCTTTATATTGAAATTGTATATACGTTTCTCTCTATATTTAAACACTTAAATACTATTTTGTGCATGTTCTTAAACCCAGACGCAGGCTCCTTTTTAATGAGCCTGCCTGCTTAAACATTTATTAGCTTAGAGATGTATAGTTTTCATAAAGCTGGCTGAAGCTTTTTGCAGACTATCTTTGCAAAAAAACCTTTTTTTTTTTGTGTACATGGCCTCAGTCCTTGCAACCTCCTAAAGAGTCTGTCAAGGCGCAACTTAAAAGCTCGTTCAGGCGACCATGACCCCCTGCTAGCAGATTGTCTGCCTAAAAGGTAAGGGAAAGCTAAAAAAGAAGTAGAAACTTAAAAGTAGCTTCTCAAAGGCTGCATAGATCTTTTTTTTGTTAAACCTAAAGTGTTTAAAAGCTTTAATATTGATGGCCTGTCAACTTTGTCCTGATTCTTTGGCTTTCAGTTAAAAGGTTTTTGTTGTTGTAGCTTATGCAGTTGCTCTGTTGCTATGGAAACGTGACATCAAAATGACGTTTCTCTGTTTAAAAGCTTTTAACTAAATTCCTGCCTGTCAGATGTAGGCCCCATTTTGTGCACTCAAGCTTCAAGCTGTTGCAAAAAGGTTTCATATGTTCTGTTGTCATTCAAATTCTTTATCCACATATGCATGTCTTGCACTACAAAAAACCTAAACTAAAAACTCAATCTATATTAAGTGTCCTCTTTTAAAACCCTTTTAGGTCAGTCAGCAATGGCTGCAGCAGAAATTCCCAGTTACATTGTCTCTTCTCAGACTGAGAAACACAGGAGGGCCAGAAACTGGACTGATGCAGAAATGAGAGGTTTAATGCTGGTTTGGGAAGAATTTTTTGATGAGCTGAAACAAACTAAAAGGAATGCCAAAGTTTATGAGAAAATGGCTAACAAACTCTTTGAAATGACTGGAGAAATTCGCCACGGAGAGGAAATAAAGATAAAAATTACAAATATGACATTCCAGTACAGGTAAGCTTCAGTTAATTCTTTTTATTTTAAGAGATTTTAGCAGGGACAACGCAGTGATTTTTGCCTTTCAGAAAGAAGTCTCCTAGAGGAAATCTGTCGATAAAAGATTAAAGATTGTTCATATCGCTTTTAAAATTCTCTCTTGCCAGTGCTGTTACGTCATTGTTAATTTTTTCCCCCATTTCATGTCAAACTCTGGGACAACTTTGTTTCTTTATAATTAGCTAATGTTGTTATGATGCAGAGGGATGGAAATGTATTTAGTGGGAAAAGAGATTTTTTTTTTTCCTCTCTCTTTGCTGAGGGGACTGCTTGTGTTAGCTTGGCAGCAGTTCCTTGCAGTGAAACTCCTGCAGTTTGAAGTGGCCAGTGAGAATCGGTATTGCAAGGCAAAGTTAAAAAAAAAACCAACCAAAACCCACAAAAAAGCAGAATAATATGGGGGGGGGGGGGCTGAGACTCCTCGATTTTGTTCTTGTGAGTTGAAGGGTTACACTTCACGGGGACAAGAATAATTGAACGTCTTATTACTGAGTGACACACATTGCTATAATTATAAGCGGCAGCAGCAGCAGCAGCACTGTTATATCTGCAGAGAGAGAATCGCTGTGCACCCTCGATGCTGCTCGGGGGAGCCGGGGGGGGGGCGGAGGTGTCTACGGGGTGATACAGAACAGGCGGTGTCAGTCAGGAGGGGAAGTTGGCTTTAGAAAATGCGAAGCATTTGTTGTTTGCAGGGGAAAAAATAATTAGAACTTAACAGAAATATTTGCATATCTTTTTTTCCTTTTTTTTTTTTTTTTTTTTTAAATTCTTATCTCTGTGAGGCACAAACTGCCTCATACTGGAAATCCTGAGTGGTGATTTTAGCTATGTGCTTGTAATGCAAGAAAATCAAATATGTGACTCTCTTATTTAATCTCTCCTCAAAGCTCGTATTAATAATAAAAAAGGTTATTACAGCAGGCAACCATGTTAAAACTGCTCGCTTTTCTGTAAGGCACCCTTACTGTATTTAATGCAGAGACTTCTCATCAAATGGAAAACTAGGGAAAATCCTGTAAACCCCTTAACTTTGAATGTCCTTCGTCTACATTTGTATGATCCACAAGCATAATCTTCAACATCATTTCCCACAATATTAAACTCGATGTTTTGTAGCAAATGCTAACGGCTCCAAAATGTTTTACTAACCCTGCTGTAATCCTTACCATTTTCTTCACCCAGACTGGAGATGAGAAAGCTGGAAGTAAGGTAAATTTTTGCCCAGCATCACCCAGCAATTCACACTCGCACGCAGATTTAGAAGTCGGGAGTTGTTGGCTACCAGGCCTGCTAAATCTGCAGCCCTCCCTGCTGAGAAATCCATCTCCTGGCACCGAGCTTTTACAGGTGTCTAGCAACGCTGCCCGATATTTAAGTGCCGTAACTGCCAAGAGGAATAGGTTATTTCTGTCAGCCTTTGTTCTAAATTTTCAGTGTTGTCATCAATCAGACCGTCTCGGTTTTTCCAATTAATGTTCTTACTTTAAAGTTGCACCGGGGGAAGGGAAGACATAAAATCACTCACATACATACGCTC